AACCAAACCTTGAGAAGTGAAGGTGGAAACACCAGCTGCTTTATCAGCCATAAAGGTCTGGAATCTCCCAGGTAAACTAAGGTGAATGGCAGCTCAAGATGACAATGCAATGGGTTTGCAGGCTGGTGATAAGAAACCAGTCTCCCAAGAGCTAATTCCCAGTGCCTTCCTGATTTGTAGAGGGTTGTGCTGCCCCTTCCAGCACCATCTACAGCCTGAGCTCTGAACTAGGAGGCAGCCAGCTTGGCCTGTCTCCATAGACCCTGCAAAATGCACCAGGCCTGATTCTCCTCTTGTGTAAGCAAGTTTTATGTTGGCAAAACTCCTCTGACTTACGTGTGCTCACTAACTCCAGGCATTCAAGGATCATGAAACCACTGCACGATGCCAACTGGCTGCTGGCATTTTAAATGCCTGCATAATAATTGCTCTCCCCAAAAACTATGAGGCTGTCTTGAAAATCATGGGGTTTAAAAAAGATACTGCATTCTGAATGCTTTTGATTTGCCTTCAGGCTTTTTAGCCTCCTGTGGGTCACATTTTCCACTTTTCTTGTGGACTCTGGGGACTAGTAATATAACTGTTTATTTAAATGAAATCTCCGATTCTGGTGCATTCATGGTCCAGGGCTTTCAGAAATCACAAGACTCATGATACAGTTATGAGATCTGACCATCCTTACTCTGAATTTAGGCTGAGAAGCAAATCAAGCCCATTCTGTTTTTTGGGAAGGTATTGTCAGGAAGATGGCAGCATCAGTCTCTTGGTACAAGCTCATCTGCTTCCTACCCTACATTTCAAATCCTGAGCAGGCAGCACCTTAGCAAGAAAACAAATTTTCTTTCCAGCTTAGTTTATTCTATTTTCAAATTGATTAGAGAAGAAGAGAACAATCACATCAACAACAGTCATCTATATAGTGTGCCAAAGCTTTTGGGCTATAACAGCTCTATGAACATTACTTTATAGGCCTCTGAAATGCTTTGACCTCTGAGGAGGAGCTTTGCAGCTGTATAAAAGTTCACAGGAAAGCTACAGAAGAGAATAGGATGAGAAGCAAGAGACAATCCTGTATCCAACTGAAATTGCTTTTCTGTACTGGAGCCAAGTAGTTATTTATTTTTGGTTATTATTAAGACAAATATGTCCAAAGGATAATGGCTTGTACCTTTAATCTAGAGGGATACTGAGGCTAATAGCTGCCTAAACTGTCAGATTAATTTCATGCAGCTACTTCTGGGGTGGAACCAGGCAACTGTTTAACAGCACTCAGAAACACAGCACAAGGGCTTAGGGAGGAAGTAAAGGAGAATTTTGTATCCAAACAAAACTCACAAGACTACTTCCTGAGGTTGACGGTAGCTCCCTGAACTGGAGACTGGCCAGGGCATGAGCCTAACATCACTCATCCTGTAAAAATGGGGCCAGACATGTCAGGGATCATGAAAGGCCAGGACCTTGGTTGCATATTTCATTCTGTTCATTGTTGAGCTCTGCAGTGGCTCTGGCTAGTTGGACGCAGTTCATCCCCAGGAGAGAGAGGGGTCTGGGAGACCTGCCCCTTGCTATTGTTCTACTGTCTGTGGAGAGGCAGCCAGCACCAGGACTGTGATAGTCATTGCCAGGGCTTGTGTTTGTGCAAGCCAGGACTCTCTGATACTTGACAAAGCAAAAACAGGGCAACACTTGCAACATCTTGACTTCCCAGAGCCTCTGCTGAGCAGGCCAGATATTTATGGTTCATCTTTTGCATTACCCTGGGCAGTCCCCCACAGACAGCAAGCCATGGAGGTGAAACTTGTGCTTTCCCCAGAGCGTACCCAGGTCTGCCAGTCCCACGTACCCAGCTGAGGAACTGGAGTTTTCATGCCCCACAGTGCATGAAAACTCCAGATGCTAGAGACCCCAAGTCAGGCTGGTGTATTGTGATGGACAGGGACACTGTGGGCAGCTGAGGATAAAATATAACTACTGGATCCCTGCTATCATTCATACCACCTCTCTACTGCTGATACCAATCACCTCCATAGCAGAACTGTATACTCAAGCCCCTTCTAAGAAGTCCACGTGAGGCTCATCCACCTCCTCACTGCTTATGAGTCAAAGTGCCATGGCGGGAGCCAAGGCAAACATGGAAAAAGACCAAACCCCAGCTGCAGCAGTGCAAACCCATTGTGCATGCTAGGTCCTGGAAGTGCTGACAAAGGGGACTCATGGGTTCTTGAAAGAGAAGAGGCTGGTGAATGGGGGGATTTACAGGAGTGCTGTGGCCACCACACACCAAAGTAAAATGCCCGCAAGACAGTGCAAGGCCTCCAGGAGATTACCTTTGGCACAGGAGGTTTGTGACCCTATTCTGCATTTCTGCTCCCAGTTACCTACTCCTGCAGTGGCATCCAGCACATGAGACATTAATTCATCTTCCCCTTCTGGATGCAGCCCACTGGGTAGTAACAGAAGGTTGCTCCCATCTGGTGGTAGGCCACTGCTTATGTGAAATGAGCTTGTTGGGACTCAGAGAAGTTCCCAGAGGACACTCATCAGCAGCTAGGGCAGGAACTGACTGACCAGGGAGGCTGCACTTTCCTGGATATGGTCCCTCTGTGCCTGGGAAAGGTGGCAAGGAGCTGTCCCTCCTCTGTGGACAGAAATGCTCCAGTCTCTGGGGCTGTCAACCCCTACTCAAGCAGTTATCTGGATCCTGTGGCCCCTCCTTCCCTGAAGGGGGGTGAGCCTTTCCTTCTTGGCTCCATCTACCTTTCTCAGCCCTCCACCAAGTAGATGCCAACCAGGTAGAGAAAACGGATCACTGCCTTCTGCACCTTCCCCTTTTGGTTATTTCCTCTCCTGCTTCTCTCAGGCCCCTTCCTTGCAGCCCTGTCCCCTGGACTTGCTGGCTTTGTAAGGGCTTGGGAGACACTCCTCAAGAAAGAAACTTATGAAGCCTCTTCTCAAGCCTGGTCCCCCCTCCCCTCTGCCAGGCATGCAGCCATCCAGTTCTTGTCACGACTGAGCAGCCTACCTGCTGGGTGCGTGGGAGATGAGGCAGGGTTACAAGCTCTTGAACGCCAGTCATTGCTAGGCTGGAGCAGGTCTGAATGAATCATCCACTGCAGTCACCAGGTGCTTGTGGGGCAGCTGGCTCTGCCATCTGAGACTCGCCTGTATACCAGGGCAGGTCTCAACACACCAAAATGCCTGTTCAGAGCAGTGCCATCAGCTCCAGTGCACTCTCCTACCACACCACACCAACATGGCTACAACCTATACTCCTCTCCCACCACAGTCACTTTGCAAAAGGACAAAGCATCAGACCTCTGCTTCCCTCTGCAGGGATGGTACAGGGTCTGGGATCAGATGTGTTTTCAATAAGGGCTTCTAATTTTGGGTCCCTCCATTAAATGCACAAGTCATTGGGCAGCTAAGAACTAAAGGCACTGGGAATCTGTGGCTGCTTTTTCAAACCTGACTACTTAACCTGTCTGTGCCTCAGTTTCCCCCTCTGCTTCGTTATATTAGAGTGATCTGACTTACCAAGCTGGGACAAATTCATTCGTGTGTGCAGCCTGCTTTGTGTCCTTCAGCTAGAAGGTACTACCAGGTACTATCAAACAGGCAGCATTTAAAGGGTCTGCAGCCAGTTATGATTACCCTGTGTGGGCCCAGAGAAATGCCTGGCTGGGCCTTCATTGTTGCTGGTGGCTTTGCAGTTCATTTGCTAATCATGGAAAGGGGCTACATTTGTGAGGGAAATTCTATGAGACAAAAGAGTCTGCCCAGCAGGGCTGTTTCTAGAGCCAGGAAGAGAGGGATTTCTTAGGCAGCTGTTTGGATGCTGGCCCCTGGGGTGGGGGAGCACCGCATTCCTCAGACTTCCTGATCAGATGGCAACCCATCAGGTCTGCAAGCCCAGACCCCCTGTGTAGTGGAGGGCAGGCAGCATCAGCACCTCCCCCCAGCTCAGACAAAAGCCAGGAAATGCCAGTGTCAAGAGCAGCAGCTAATTTTGGATGCCCCTGTTTTTGGTATCCCAGCTTCACACTCCCTGTGTCTGATTTTTTTGGTTGTTTGGGGGTCGAGGCATTTACTTGGGACTGGGGACACCTGGGTTCCAGTCCCAGTTCTGCCACCGTCTCTCTGGGTGACTTTGGGCAAGTCAGTGAGCCCCTCTGTTCCCATCTCTCTGGTGGACAATAGTTCCCGTCCTGCTGCCTCTTGGTGGTGTGAGGAGAAATGCATGACAGGGGTGTAGGTTGTAGCCGTGTTGGTCTCAGGACACAGGCAGACTAGGTTCTTTGGGTAAATCTGATATCTTTTATTAGATCAACTCAAATATTTGGAAATTCATTCCATCCAGGAAGAGCGCACACCAACTGCAGATGTGTCCTCAGCCCGACGAAGGGTATTTATATCTGAAAGCTTGCAAAGAAGAATTTTTCCAACTATTTAAGTTGGTCTAATAAAAGCTATCAAATTTACCCAATGATCCTTGTCTTACAGAGTATGAGGAGCTTAGACACAAGGGGTGGGGATGGAGGGCAGATAAACACCACAGAGAAATAGGTCTTGTCAAACAAACAGGGGGAGGGAATGCCAGGGAAGATGTCCATGCTTCGGGAGGCCACGCCGCAGCTGGGCACAGTTTCCCCACTGTGTGGATGATGCATAAGGAGAGCAGCAGCCTCAAAGAACCAAACCTCAAAGCAATGCGAGAGAGAAAATGGATGCAGCCAGAAATAAACCAGTAGGTAGGACAACCTACAGGGCTGTCGTCAGGTGATACTGCTGCAGGGTCTCTGAAGGGAGCTGCAGTCAGGGTACATTAGACTCATCCAGGCTCCCAGTGCCAGCACTGGCAGGGTCTCTGCAGAAGTCACAGCCACTTTGCCTGGCTCAAAAGGATAATGGTGCCCTGAGTTTGTCCTGTGATCTGACAGCCTGAGAGCTCTCCTGGCCGTGAAGCTCAGAAAGGCTGGCCAGACGGAGAGATGTCAGCGCTGCTATATGGTCTCCAGGCCACACCACAAGTATTGCCTCTATCCTGTTGGAGCTAAGCTATAGCTGGGCACTAGGAAAACCACACTGGCTGGGCCTGATGAAAATGGAGCTGTGGGTCATCCATGAGAGCCGCTGAGCCTCCTTCCCCTCAGCCTCAAAAGGCCTGAGGAGCGCCATCCCTATTATCTAGGAGAGGGCCCAGGCAGAGATGAGCCACTGGCCAAATCTATTCATCCTCTGTGATCTTTGGAGGGGCAAGAGGTCCCATGTGAGGGCCCATCCAGGGTCTGCAAATAGGACAGCAACACATCCTGGCTACCGGCACAGGCCCTGTCTGACATGGGGAAAATTCATTGACCAGTCAGACCAGCACTGTCTCCCTGAGAAAGTGGGCAGGAGAGAGAGCAGGAGTCAGGGGTGGGGGAGAGTGAGGATGGAGGGAGAGTGGTGCTGATTCAGCCTTTCCCAAAGAAGGAAGGTTGGAGACAGGGTTGTAACCTAGGAGGCTGCTGGTCTTCCATGTTCAAGGTGTTCCCTGGGGAGAAAATAGTGCCGGGGTCTCTAGTTAACTCTTGGCCCCCCAAAATGACCCACCCTCCCCTTTCCTTGGGACTGGCAGTACCTGTGAGTGGTATGATCCCATCCCACAGCCCTGTAGGCTGCAGATCCCCAATGTCTGCCTAAACCTCCTTGAGTGAAATCTCAGGGGGAGGCTGCATTTGCTCTCTGCTACAATGAAACCCAGCAGTCTGGATTGAACCTGAGCAGCCTTATCTGCAAAGCAAACAGGACATTCCTCCCAGCAAAGAAACAGGCTGGCTCACTTTCCAAGTCACCTCCTGAAACAGCCAACTGGGGACCTTGCAGTAGGTCAAGCTGAAGAAACAAAGGTGCTCTTGGTTTTCATCTCCCTCAAAGCCCACGGTGTCAGAGCCTCTCCTGACTGTAGCAATGCAAGCAGCTGTTTGGGGAATGGTATAAAGGGAAAGGACATCTGGGAGACCCTATGTAAAAGAGCAGAAGTGAGGGAGATGGTTATAATGTGTCCCACAGAGAGGGGTCATTCCCTGGGCTGCATAGAGAGGTCCCAGACCTATACCCAGCTGTCCCTGAGGGCGGGCCAGGGGACAGTCTGTGGGATGGACCTCAGGGCAGGTGTAATGACTTCTCCAGCATCTCATCTGGTGCCAAACTCAGGAAGTCTTATATCCCACATGCACTGGGATTTTTGTGCCATGCTGAGTCAGGCAGGTAGGGAGGGAGACTTGGCCTATGGGTCCCAGAGTGGCGAATGGGCTGCTGGTGCACCAGGGCTGCATGAGTGTGTGTCTGTGCGTGCGCGCGCGCGTGTGTGTGCACTTTGTACAGCGCTGCCTCACCCCCGGCGGTCCTGTACTGCTCCTCTAGCCGAGAGGATCACATGATTCCAGCCTGGAGCTGCACTGAGCATGGGCGAAACCATCTGGGCCGCTGTGCTCCTGTAAGTGCAACAACAAAGCCTGCAGATCAGGCAGCTGACAAGCCTTTTGTTTTCTTCCAGTCAAGCCCCAGGTCCCCCTTTTGTCTGCTGCCTGGCAGAGAGGGGCTGGCAATTCTCCCCCCAGCCCTTGCTCCTGTTGGCCTGCTCTCGCACTGCTGCCTTGACAGACCTGGACCAGCGTGACAGCCTCCCTCCCTGGGCCTTCCGATTCTGCAGGGTCTTGGCCAAGGAAATTGCTGTGAGTATCGAGACTGGTTGCCTGGCACTGGCTGTGGCTGGGGAGGACTGGAGCTGTGTTGGGGGCTGCCTGTCACTGAGCTGGGACGGGAGGAGGAAGAAGGGGCAACGTAGGGGGCTGGTAATCCCAAATTGCTACAGGAAGATAGACAGGCCCTGCGGCTCTGGGCACTGTCCAATGTGCTGGGCACGGGTGTGGCATGGGCCAGCTGGGGAAAGACCCCACTTGGGGCTGAGGCTATCCTTCTGGGAGGAAGGAGAAGGTGGTCACAGTTACCCTTGCCCTTGCCTATGCAGATTGGCAGAACAAGATGCCACCTGCCCAGTACCCTTTGCATGTGATCTGCTAGCAGCTCCACTGCTACTTTTACAGGGTAGACTTGGAGCCTGTACCAGGTAGATGCACAGGGGTCCAGCACAGGAGGTGGGGCTGCTCTCAGGATGCTTGCCATGTGGCCCTGGGAATCCAGGCTGAGTCCTGCCCCTTCCTCACACTGCCCCGTGTCCTCCTGGTCAGACTCTGTCCTGCTAAGAGGCTGCGCCCTTGGCTGGCTCTCCAGGGGCCCCAGAATCCAAGTCAGCGTCTTCTGCCCTCTGAGGAGAGCACTTCTCCCCCACATAGGACCCAGAGCATCCCCCATGCAGGCAGCAGGACCTAGCCCAGAGGGTCCTGCCATCCCTTTCCCTGGGAAAAGCTCAGAGTGGAGGGGTCAGGCTAATGCCCTGTAGCATGGACTGCAGTGGGGCCTGGGCCCTGGTTCCCTCACCTGACAGCTGTGGCCGCAGCTGAGATGGAGTTTGGCTCTAGCCCTGCTTGGATGTTGGCACATCCTATTTAAAGAGATGCTGCCACAATCTGTGACTTCAAATCCTATGCAGAGGGACTCATCCCCACCCCCATCCAAGAATGCTGCTGTGTGTTTAAGTGCAGGCTCCAAGCAAAACCAAGTGCTCTGTCCCGGGGCAGGCTGGGTGTGCTGCTCCGGGGAGGAAGTGCAGATGCCCTGCGTGACTCTTTCCTCCTGATCCGTGTCTCTGGTCACGGGGAGGCTGTGCCATGGTGCTTCTGGCTGGGGAAGGAGGCTATACAGCTTCAGGGAGAGAGGGAGAAATTCCAGAGGACAAAGCGGAGCCCAAAATGTAACTCTGTGATTGTGCCGGATAAGTCTCCTAACCTCTCCCGGCAGAGGGCACTGCAGGGAGCAGTGCGGGACCTCACACTGTTCAGTAACTCTGGGATACAGGACAGTGCAGGACCCCTGGCTGGGAAGGGCTGTGGGCAGAGTTCCCTGGCTCCCCCAGTTTCAGCCTCCCTTCACTGGTATTGCTGTAGGCATGGACACCTAGTAAGGGCCTTGCAGTCCTCTCTGCCTGTCCCCTGTATTCCCCCAGTTGATTTTAAACAGGAGAGCAAAGCCCCTGCCCTGCCTGTCTCACGTCCGCTCTGCCTCCCCCAGACGCTGCTCCAGGAGGGGTGGCTGGGTGAGAGCCTGCCCCACTGCAGGACAGCTCCACGTCAGGAGGGATTTGTGTTCACGCTGGCTGTGGAGGGAGCCTGCCCTGTCTGGGCCCCTCTGCCAGCAGAGTTCACTCGGGCAGGCTGATCGTTGTGCCACACACTAAGTCTGCCCAGGCCTTTTTGTTGCCTGTGTCTCCTCCAACTCCTCTAAGGGGATTTATCCCCCAAGCCTGGAGGGGGAGGTCAGTGGGATCCTGCCAGAGCAGCTGATCCAGCTCCTGCTTTTCCAGGTGTCCCTTTTTTGCTGGAGCCCGAGCATTTTCACAATGGCTTCTCTGAAAAACATACACCGGCTGACAAGGAAGGCGTGAGAGGCTGCTGCCAGGATGACTCAGTGCTGGGAGCTGGGTGCTGGGCAGTGCTCCTCTCTGGGTCACATCTGTTCCTGGGCAGGATGGCCTCAGACATCCTTGGAAAGGCCTGTGGTGACATATAAACCTCCCCCTCACATGGCTGAGACCCTCGGGATCCAGGGCCCAAAATATTTGATAGCTCTCCCACCTTTTTCCCTGGGCAGTGGCTTTATCAGAGGAATGTGCATGTAGTGCGTTGGCCCAGAGAGTCCCATGGGGAAAACTACTGCCCAGGCAGCTACAGGCTGAATGTCTGGAGCGAAGTCTGGTGTCCTGGCTTTGTTGGCCCCTGTGTCCTGTAGTGGACAGTATGGCCTGCTGGGCTTCTCTATCTGGAAAATTTATGAATGTGCTGTCACCTGCAGACTGCTGCACCACCAAAGGTCTGTGGTAGGGAAACAAGCAGCCTGTTTTCATCTTCTTCCCAACCACCTCCTTTCTCCCAAGCCAGGACCATCCTATATAAGATGGAGGTGACATCCATGCTACAATGGGCAAGCAGCACTCTGACATGAAAATGATATTGTCTGCCCTTGAAGTGAGTAGGAGCCCTGAGGTAGGAGGAATCTCCCTTCAAAAAGAACCAGTATTGCTCAGACCCTTGCCAGCCAGCCATTGCTGTGCTATTATTTCCTAGGATGTCTTGTGCTAGGGAAGGCTGGGCCAGGAGTGACCCTGCCACAGAAGTGCTTGTATAGCAGGTACCTCTGCATGGGAAAGCCAGAGACTGGCATCCAAACATTTGTTACAGAGGAGAATCTGGCAGGTATGATAGACCCTGGGCCTTGACACATGGCTCCGTTGGGGCAGGATGCTGTGAGCAGCAGAAATATAGGCTTGTCTTTGAGTATCAGGAATAAACAGGCACTTGCTGGGATTTGGATTGGCCTGATAACTGTGTATATATTCTTGCTCTCTACTGTGCACACTGTGGGTGGCAGATTTCAAGCCAAGGTGTTTCAACTTTGCTCATCCAATAGCAGCATTTGTAGTATTACTAGTATTACCAGTATTACCAGTTCTGAGCACTGGGAATTTAAGAGTAGTTTCCCCCCACCCCTCCCCTCTGCCAAAAAAAATTATGAGATTGGTTTAAAGAACACAAGGATTTAGAAATCTTTTGTGTTCCCTTTCATTTGGCTTTCAGCTGCATTGGCTTCATGTTTCCAGGCTTCCCCTCCCACCCCCCCAACCACGTGGACTATAAACAGCTTTATTTAAAATTAAAGCTGACATGCTCCCACCATCCCATGACTCCAGGAGCTGGAGCTTTAACTAAAAACCCAAATACAGTGAAACTCACAATAAGATGGCAACATGGCATTGGTAGTTTGCCCAGTGTCTGAAGGCTACTCCTAATGCATCTGAAATGGAGGTGCTTGTATTTATATTACAGGAGTGTTTAAAGTCCCCAAATGCAATCAGGCTCCATTATGCTGGGTGCTGCACAAACCCAGAAGGAGACAGTCCCCGCCTCAGAGAGCTTACAATCTAAACAGGGGAGAGAGGGACACAGCAGGCCTGGAAAAAGCAGAGTATGTGCTGGAACCTGATGTCCCTCCCTGCAGGTGACACCTCTGTATTAAATATGGGGGTAGGGACAATTGGCCAGGCAGTGCGACCCAGTGATTAGCTTCCTGAGCAGGGAAGCAAGAGTTACCTGGTTGTCTGTCCTCCAAGCTATTTCCTTAATCCCTAAATTGCAGGTGTTCTCACCTGTGTGAGTGAAACACAGCCTGCAGAGCCTTCAAGTCTCAGCATGCATCAAGGTAGAACATGCTGGAGCATTGTCCCCTGGGATATGTAGTTTCCATAAGCCTATGATCTGTTAAAGAGAAGTTTGTTCCGTTTCCACCCTGAATGAAAGGCAGCAGCAAGAAGCATAGGGAGCAGGCAGCACAAGATCATCAGCTCTATAATTTGCAGATGGGATAAGCTTTTCTGCTATATCAGCTGTCCAGATGTGCTCCTGGGCTGAGGAGTCTCCCAGCAAAATCCCATCAGGGAAAGAACTGTATCACTGAAAACATCCAGGGCCAGCCAGCTCCCAGCAGTCACAGAGGACCTACCCCCAGGTCTGGGAGCAGCTGAAAGGCCAGCGCAATCCCTTGTCTTCCCACAGGGCCCTCTTCCTTGGGTTAGGCTGCTGTGCATTGAGGAGGGAGCTTAGAGAGAGAAGTGAGTGAAGTCCTTGGGGTTCATTGTTCTGGGTTTGTGGTGCCTGAGGGGTTCATCACCTGGCACTTGGGCTCATCTGGAAGGGCTAGTTTGGGATAGTTGCTTAGAACAAGCATGGAACTGAACTGAGCCCTGCCCCAGCCCTTGGGAGTGAATCCTCTGCCCGATGCTCTTTTCTTGTCACAGGGACCTGCAGCCTGACCAAGCTTTGAATGTATAGGTGAAGGTGATGTGACTTGCCCGTGGTCATACAGAGACTTGGTGGCAGAGGCAGGGATTCAACCCTAATACCTTGCAGTGCCACCAGGCCTGAGCATTCAGAGCTCATGAGTCAAGACCCTCCAAATCACAATATGATGGTACACTTTGGGGTTTTGGCCTTCTGGCTTCTGAATCTTGAGGTTGTCTTTTGATCCCATTTCCCACTTTTCTCAGCAATGATGAGGGCTAGAAACTTTCCATTTAATTGATAACTGAGGAGTTAACTAATCACATGCCTGTAGGAGCTGGGGCTTTACAAAGAGTATTAACTGTCATAAGACTGATGTTGCCATCTCTCTTAATTTTATCTAGAGTCCCAGGTGTCAGGGGGAACCAGTATGCGGGTAGTTAGGAGTGGACTTGACCCTAGAAAGTCACAGGCCAGGGGATCAGGAGCAGAGGAGACCAGGAACCAGAAGTACAGGTGCACATTGGAGCCACAAGGTCAGGTTTGAAAGGATCAGGAAGCAGGGACCCAGGTTGGAGTCTGGAATAAGGAACTAATAGGCTGGAACTAAGAGCAAGCAGAAGCCCAGGGTTATCCAGAGAGACCTTTCTCCCATTAACAGGCTGGTGGACCCTGGAAGGACAACTTCTTATAAGCAGGAAACAACATCCTTACAGGTAACAGGGGCAGCAGGAGTTTTTTAAAATTACAAATGTGTCAAACTCTTAATACCTTCTCCAGCTGTGTTTTATGTTTATACAACACTAGTGCCCCTTCCCCTCTCCTGCTTTAGAAACTTTCCCTTTGGTCCCCCCCTCTCTCCCCAATTTACCCCTTACCCCACTCCTAACTCAGACTTTATTATGAGTAGGCCAAAACTGATATCAAAGACCCTTCCAGTCTTGGTTACACTGTGTACCTTTGCAGGTAAACTCCTGCTTGCCACCACACTCAGCCTCCTCTGATAACCCACCTCCTCCCACATCACTAAAAGGACTGGCATGCCTGTAGGACTTTCGTTAGCCCTGCATGACTAATTAGAACATTTAAAACCTACATAAAGGTCTATACAATGTTCTTCAAGTGTCATACATCATCCTGCAAAGCATATAAAGCACATGTATCACATGTATCACATAACAAATACTTGAAGGGTGATTAAAGAGAAGATAGAGATGGCCTTCTATCTGTTGCTGTAGGGGACAGGACTAGAAGCAATGGCCTTAACCTGCAATAAGGGAAACTTAGGTTGGAGATTGGAAGAACTTTCTGACTATGAGGGTAGTCAAGCTTTGGAGCAAGCTACCTAGAGAAGTTGTGGAATCTGTATCCTTGGAAACTTTCAAAAGCAGGTTGGGCAGACACTTGGCTGGGATGCTTTAGTTAGGGATGCTCCTGCCTTGAGCAGGGGGGTGAAGTAGATGACCTTGTGAGGTCCCTTCTACCCCTACTTTCCTATGATCCTATGGTTACAGTGGACACGCTAAAAATTGGTATATCAAACACAAGATTTTTTAAAACATGTAAAACCCATTCAAAATACACCACCAACTAAAACTTGGTCCCAGGGTTCCTTGTGAATAAAAGCCGCCAGTCACTTTGT